TATTTTTTTCATTTATATATATATATATATATATATATATATATATAATATTCATTCATTCATTCATTCATTTATTTTCTTTCTTGCCCCCCGACTTAAGAGTTAAATGTCGCCCATGGCTGTGCACAAGATGGAGCGGAACGTGGAAAATGAAGCATACCTGAACCCCTACAACAAATCTTGAATGTGTTCCTTTTAGTTCTGGCATTAAGTAGAAAAATCATTAGATTAGATTTTTTGTGACTTTGGACAGATAACCAAAATGATACAACCATTAGGGAAAAAGAGGGAAAACAGGACTAGGATGTAAACCAGGCCGGTCTTGAATCTTCATCAAGCACAACCGGTCTTTATATGTTACTTGCAACACACTACTTTCTCTGAAACTGCTCTGATGAATTCAGCAACTTATATATGTCGTTCTACATATCAGCATCAGCATTGACTATTTAAAAGAAATTCAGTTTGATCCCCTAGTTCTAAAGCAGAAATGTTGATAAGGAGACTTTCATATGGTCACTATGAGTGTATGTAAATATGACTCCCATTGTCTCAAAACTCATGACAAATCACCAAACAGTAACAGCATTTCAAGCGGCTTAGAACAAAGTACGTAACATCTGGATAACGTTTGACCTTTGCACATTGTCCTCTGTACCGGCAGCGGGTCATTCCCGTCCTCTGCCATGAGCTGCGAGATGTTTACATAATTCCGTACGATTATGCCTTTTCATGGGAGCGCGGCGAGCATAGAGGAACATGCTGGGTTGATTTGGCCAAATTGGAAGCCTGTGAGTAATATACGGCGGAGCAGAGCTGGGCTGGATGGACGTCTGGTAGTGTTTATGCGCAGGGTAGCTGCATCTGCACACAGCCCAGTCCCGCGTTTGCCTCGTACCCTCAGGCCTCCAGCACCTGCATAATGGAACAACAGAGAAGAAAGAAAGGGGGAACGAGATCAAATGACAAGGGCTTGAGTTTCTCACTTCAAATGTTTCTTATTTTTTGACTTACACCAGGAAAATATTTTCACAACCTCAGAGAGTTGCGCGTCGATATGATGGAGAGGCCTCGTTGCCATTTCGTAAACATTTGTCTTATTGCATGTTTGGCTGTTCTCCCCAAAGCTGCTCTTGGAAATTCGTGGAGGAAGGCAGGCGGGGGCAAGGAGGGAACGAGGGAAATAAATAAATATATAAAGGTGGCGGTTAATCTTGCTTAGTGCAGTGTGAACGCTGAGCAGTGCTTTGGCCTGACAAACATCTGCCTCACACACAGCCGAGCGGGATCAGCTAAAGCGATTAGGGCGCTCACGTCAGCCTGTGGAGATGGGGTGGAGACGGGTGCCCGTTACAAAAGCCAGAACACCAGCCTTTCCTCCCACACTCCACCTGGAACACTGACACTGCAGCGAGAGAGAGGCCCCGCTCCGAAAGCAGCGCAAGAACCGCCGTGCAAACGCTACCCTTTTCCAATACGCATATGCTCTTGTCTTTTTTCCCTCTCTCAGAACAAAGCAACATGTAGCTCTGAGGATTGAACAATCTGTCATGGTACTAAAGCAGATGCTTATCACAGCCAGAGTTGTATCCGAAACTTCTTAATTAGCATGTATGTAATGAAATATGCCATTCATTAAGGTGTAATTGTAATTTTACACTTGCTTTGTACCGAGACGGGGGCCTTGATGTGATAGCAGGTGACCTTTCCATTGCTGTGTGTAAAGGGAGACTGTATCCTGCACATGCTTTTACAGTTAACCTCATTAAAGCAAAGGAGGGGCGATACTTCCTGAAAGGGGTCTCGACAGCTTTCTTTTTTCACTTTTTCTCCTTTTCATTTTCCATTTCATTTCTGTTTTGTGTTCTTTAGTGCGAAAAATGTTATTAATCTGCATTTTCATCTTGTTTCCCAGTAAAATATCGAAGCATTTTTAAAAACAAGATAAGTATATTTAAGATATTAAAACTTTTTTCATCATTTTTTGTACTTTATAAAATTTTAAGAACATTTTCTGAAAATAAGTCTTATTGTTTTGTGTTTATTTGTTATAGTAATATTTTGCAACTAGTAAATTTGATCTTGGATAGATATTTTACTGGGAAACAAGATCAAAATGCAGATTAAAGGTGCTGTATGTAGGATTGACACAGAGTGGCTGAACTAGATATTGCAGTCCAAATTCAAAATATTGGAGAGGGTTTTTTTCACCCGGCCCCTCCTCCTCAGACTTGAGGCACACGCAGGTTGCCAGATTGACGACACCAACAGGAACAAGCGCACTTGATGATGAATGAAATGAAATACGCTGTGTTTTCCGCCAACTGGCAACCCGGGGTCCCAAAATACAATTGGGTAAACTGGCAATGGGCAATTTAATAACATTTTGAGAATAGAAGAAATGAAAAAATTAAATTCAAGTTTATTTGTATAGCGCTTTTTATGATACAAATCGTTGCAAAGCAACTTTACAAAAAATTAAGTTTCTACAATATTTACTAGTAGCTTATCAGTGGTGACTGTCAGTTGAATTAAATAGGATAAAATTATTGGTCATCCAGTCTTTTACATTTTTAACACATTCTGTTAGCTTTGATAATTTAGAAGTTTCATCTGGTCTCGTTGAGATATATAGTTGAGTATCATCAGCATAACAGTGGAAACTAATCCCGTATTTTCTAATAATATTACCAAGGGGCAACATGTATATTGAAAATAGCAGAGGACCTAGGACAGATCCTTGTGGCACTCCATATTTTACTGGTGATAAAAAAAAATATAAACCTGCAATTAAACATTTTTGTTCCCCCCAGTAAATTATCTAAACATTTTTCAAATGAGATAAATCGATTTAAGATATTAAGACTTTTTTCCCCATATTTTTTCATCCCTAATAAAGCTTCTCTTTAAAATCTCTTAAAACAAGTCATAATATTTCAATTTATATTTTATAATTATATGTTGTATTAAATACTGTTGTATTAAATACTTTTCTTTTTTCTTTTCTTTTCTTTTCTTTGCTTTAAACAGTTCTTCTTTTATACCCTCTGCCTTCTTTCTCCGTTTCCCTCTCTTCTTTTTTTCTTCTCCCTTTAATCTTGATGTTCAAATTCGGCTGACTTGGTCCTCCACCCTCATTTTTCAACATTGTGACTTGCCTCTTACATTGTGTAGCTCTTCAAACATGGCTATGTAGCTGGTGATTTACTTTTTCGAGAACAATTTGGCCACATTATTTATGTATTTATATATTTTAAAATGTAATTTAAAGCTTAAGTGTGTAATTTTGTAATTTTAACGTAATATATTACTCTGTTTGAACATCCCAACCCTAAAAAACAACATTGGCCCAAATGTTAGTGTGAGTTTAGGGGCAGGGCAGTCGGTTTGACCAAACAGTGGCACAGTTTGATAGCCTGTTTGAAAACCGCCATTATTTAGTGGTGCAGAATGACACGGTCATTAGTTTTCAAGTCTAGCCACCTCTTTTTTTTATCTAGACTGAAGATGTTTTGCATTCAGGTGATATTTATGTCTTCATTGTCTCCCATACCACATGATAAAGCACCACAGTAAGAAATAACTTTTGACGGTGAAGTTTTCTCTGGGCATGTGTGCAAGCCACATGGTGCGTTTGATAAAGAAAAAGGATGTCAGCACTCTTAGGATTAGCTCACACCATAGGAATTAACAACAACATCCCAGCTCCTGTTGCACCCAGGATTCTCTTCTCTTTGATATCTAGCCTCCGCAGTTACAGGAGGAAAACACATCTGAGATGAAGAACACTCCCAATTCTATGTTTCTCTTTTCGATCTGTGGGAAGGTAGTCTTTACCTCTGTGAATTACTGTGTTCTCCGTTGATAATAGGAGAGCCTCGGCCAGTAGTAGCAGTGTACTAAAACTGTAGTTTTCCAAGCTGAAATCTACTTGTGCTTTAAGTATTTAAACTATAGTGAAGCTATAATTTGAAGTAGTTAGCTATACACTACAAGTTACTATGAAAAAGTAACCACTTTAAAGCTATTTTAAAGGGGTCATATGATGCAATTAAAATTTTTCCTTTCTCTTTGAAGTGTTACAAGCTCTTGGTGCATAAAGAAGATCTGTAAAGTTGCAACCGGCTGGGACACGCCATCACAGTATGGTGAGGGGTGTAACATTTCCGTCTCACGCTTGAGGTATTCGGCCAATCACAATGCACTGGATAGCTGGCCAATCAGAGCACACCTTGCTTTTCAGACCGATGAGCTTTGTAAAAATCTA